TTTTTTTTTTTTTTTAGTGTTTCATTGGACATGCCTTTTAAAGCTGGAGAACTACATGAAAACCCCGAAGGAGTAAGTTTAAGTGGAGAGCAGAAAGCCCTAGTGTACTCTGAAATTTGACTACAGGAAAGGAGACTGGGAACGAGGGAGTAGAGAGGTGGGGAAAGACGGGATAGCACGGTGTTACAGAAGCCAAGAGAAGAAACAGTATCGGTGAGATAACACTGGCTGTTCAGGCATTTCCGAATATTCCATTTCTTTTTGAGCGGTTCAACCTTGATATTCTTTAGCTGGTTGAGAGAGGGCGATTTGGTCTTCCAGGGAACTTTTAGCAAAGTCTAGAAGCAAACTGATTATCACGACAGGGGGAGAAGTGTTAATGCTGGCATCTAGCGGTAAAGGCTAGGTAGTGCTTAAAAGTTAAATACAACACAAGAATATAGATCTATAAAAATTCGTGGGATATAGTAATTAGGGAAAAGAAAATTCAACAGTGCGACATTTTTTCACTCATCAAATTGTCACTATTTTAAAAAATGTTAAAATTCATTATGGGAAGAGGTGCATCAGGAAATGGCGCTGATACAGTGTCGGTTGGACTGAACATTCTATTTGGGAAGGTAATGGGGTAGTACTTACTAAAAGATGAATATAGGCAATGGGGTGTCACCTTCTGTCTTTGCAGTTAATGTGCCCAAAGAGAAAGATGCAGCTAACATCATCCTTTGCTTCCTCTAACCTCTCCCCAAAGGCCAATGGCTACTTTTGTTTGTTTTCTTGTTTGTTTGGGTTTTTGTTTAAGTTATCTCTGTGTCCTATGTGCAGCTGGAACTCACTACTCCCAGATCAAGAGTCACACGCTCCATGGACTGAGCCAGCCAGGCGCCCCCCAGTGGCTACTCTTAACAAAAAACCATTAACCCACCAACTACAGGAGACAGTCTCAAATGATCATCATTGAAGGTACTATTGGGCCATCAGCATTCTGTAGAGTCTTGTTGATGATCTAACTCACCTCTGTTGATATTTTGGAGGAAAGACTCAAGGGCGAAATGATGGATGTATAGCACAGGAGGCCACTTCTTTTAGATACCTACAGTTGTGGCAGATAACGATCACTCTTGCTGATTCTAAAATTGTGGAGGTAACTGCAGAAGTCTGTCAGCAAGAGAGAGTGGCCTCAGTCTGATCCAAAAGAGAGTTAATAACTTTGAATCCATCCATAAATACCCAGATTGTAAAGGATAGTTTAGAGCACACATTGTTGTGGTTTTCAATCCCAAGTACCATGTGATTTGAAGTGGGTATAAACTGAATTGTGATAGGTTTTGCTATATTATGTCTGGAAAACTTAGCATTCCAGAAGCTGTCATCTTGAATGGACTTGGGTTGAACTTGGCAACTCAAGTGTGTTTACATGGAGTGGAGTGAATGTATGCAGGTGTTGCTGTAGAAATGGAATTCAGAAATGGAAATTGTCAGGGACAGAGTTTGAAAGAAATGTGAATCAGATGATTGAAAGAGCTCGGAAGTGATGAGATTAAAGGTACATTTCAATTGCGGTATTGGATTAAATGTTGCCAAGCTAATCCAAACCCTTTTTGAAAAACATCTGTACAGGGTTCATCTAGACAGGGTTTTTCAACCTAAGCACTACTGACATTTGGGGCCAGGTAATTTTCTGTTGTGGGGGCTGTCCTGTGCACTGCAGGATGTTTAGCAGTGTTCCTGGCTGGCATCTACCTGTTAGACACCAGTAGCTCTTTCCCTCCCCCCAGCTGTGACAACTAAAAATAGATTGAGTGAAGAGGATTAAGAGGTACAAACTTTCAGTTATAAGTCATGGAGATGAAAAGTATAGCACAGGGAATATGGTCAATAGTATTGTAATGATGTGGTGTGGTGACAGATGGTGACCACACTTAAGGTGGTGAACATTGAGTGATGTATAGTTTTTGGATCAATCTGTTGCACACCTGAAGCTGATATAACATTGTATGTCAATTATAATTCAGTAAAAAAAATTGGGGGGGTTAACAAAATGTTTTGAAATGTTGACAAATGTCTGCTAAAGCATAGAATTGACACTTAAGGTGTTGCTTGTGACAGTGAGGGGATGTGTGTCACTGAGAAGGGGATTCCCTTGTGTTCTGAGTATTCAAGGAGTAACCAGAATTTTCAGCAAAAGTGGAAGGATAATGAGGTTTCACCACCCAAGAAGACTGGGGAGGATACCTTGGTGGCTCAGTCTGTTGATATCGGAGTCTTGGTTTTGGCTCAGGTCATGATCTCACAGTTCGTGTGTTTGAGCCCTGTGTTGAGCTCTGGCAGTGTGGAACCTGCTTTGGATTCTCTCTCTCCCTCTCTCTGCCCCTCCTGCTCTCCCTCTCTCTCTCTCAAAATAAATAAATAAACATTAAAAAAAGAAGACTGGGGATATACTGAAATATTTACATATCTGGTGTCATCTGAGCAATATGACAAGAAAATGTAAGGCTCTGAGTATAATTAACTGTGAACATATAATTTTTTTTTCTTTCTCAATACATGAATTTGAGCCCACAGCATCCAAGCACATGCATGGTATAATGCTTACATCAAGAACCTACAAATAAATAAACTCTATTAATGTCAAGTGGAAAAAATGCACAGAGGGGACCCGAGATATAAATCTGTGAGTTTGTCAAATACTAGATGAAACCCCCAAAAAAAGTAGACTGAGAGCAGAAGAAAATTCAGAACTATGCCCTGGGGGACTGTATTAACTCCTATGTGTAAGCTGTATGGCTGCTGTAACAAATTACCATCAACTCAAGGGTTGAAAGCAACACAAATTTATTAGCTTGCAGTTCCAGAGGGCAGGAGTCAAGTGGTTCACTGGGTTAAAATTGGTGTCAGCCCGGCTGCACTCCTTCTGAAGGCTCTAGGGGAGTATCTGTCTCCTTGCCTTTTCCAACTTCTAGAGACTGTCTGCATTCTTTGGCTTGTGGTTCCTTCCTCCATCGTTGAAACCATGAATTTTGGTTGAGACCTTCTTGCATCCAGTTACTCTGACCCTGACCTCTGCTTCCGTTGCCAGATCTCCTCCTCTGATGCTGAGTTTCTTGCTTTCCTCTTATAAGTCCCTCACCCCCACCCCCACCCCCACCCCCAGCCGTGATTACATTGGGCCCACTTGGATACTCCAGGATACACTCTCCATCCGAAGATCCTTGACCTAATCACTTCTGCAAAGTCTCTTTTGCCATGTAAGTAAGGTAACATCTTAAATTCTAGGGATTAGGACATGCACATCTTTTGTGGGGGCACTATTCTGCCTGCCAGAGGGACTCTGAAACTTAAATACAGGAAAGGAGACTGGGAAGGGAGATAGGGAAAGAAACCAAAGAATACAGTGTCACAGAAGAAGCCAAGAGAGGAAAGGGTCTCAAGGAGGTGGTGACCTTCGACAAACAGAAAGTTCACGAGGCTTTGACCCAGCCACCGTACTCCTAGAAATCTTTTTGACAAGAGGATTGATTTGTAAAACCTTAGGCCCTAAGATGATATTCTAGCAGTGGAATACTCTAATCACTAAAAAGAATGTTAGATTTATCGATTTGACAAATACTTATTGTGTGCCTTCTGTGTGCCAGCCACTGCTCTTGGCATTGGGAATACAACAGGGGAGCTATGCATCAGGGTTTGTAAACACACCTTAGGCCAAATCTGGCCTGCCACCTGTTGTGTAAGTAAAGTTCTGGTGGAACACAGCCATTCATTCACGTATACCGTGTCTGCTCTTCAACCACAACAGCAGTATTGAGTAGTTGCAATAGAGACTGTCTCCCACAGAGTCTCAAATATTTAATAGCTGGGTCTTCATAGAAAATGTTTGCCTACCCGAACCCCTGATATAGACTTATAGAGATGCTCATGGTATGTTGTTAAGTGAGAAAGGCCAGGGTTAATATATGCATGATTTCATTTTTTTAAACAACAATAACCTTCTCAACCTCCCAAGCCCCAGCACGTTATATGAGTATGCATGTGTATGTGGGGTTGGACTTGTGGTTGTCTCTCAGCATCAGTGAGGTTAGGTCCTACATAATCATGTCCCCACTAACTTTCTCTCAGTGTTCCTTACTCCTCCTTCTATCTGCTCCTTACTGTGCCTTGAATATGTCAAGCACACACCAACCACAGGGCCTTTGCATTGAATGCCTCTCTGTGTCTGGAGCTCTCTTTTCCTGTGACTTGTCTCCTCATCTCTGGTTTCTGTTCAAAGTCACCTTCTCACCCCTGTAACTACTTATTTTATTCTTTGATATGTTATTTCCCCCCCAGCTTTATAGAGATATCATTGACATACATTTAAGGTGTAATATGTGATGATTCAATACACGTGTATGTTGCAAAATGATGATCACAATCAGGTTAATTAATCCCTCCGTCCCCTTAACATAATTACCATTTTTATATGTGGGTGATAACATTTACGATCTGCTCTCAGCATTTTTCCAGTTGTTAATACAGTGTTGTCTATTGTGAATTGTAGTCGCCATGCTGTACATTAGATCCCCAGAACTTACTCATCTTATAACTGAGAGTATGTACCCTTTCACCGACATCTCATTCCCCCCCACCCTGGCCCCTGGCAACTGTTTCTACAAGTTCAGCTTTTTTAGATTCCATATATAAGTGAGAACATGTGGTATTTGTCTTTCTCTGTCTGACTTATTTCACTTAGCACAGTGCCCTCAAGATCCAACCATGTTGTCACAAAAGGCAGGGTTTTCTTTTTTTTAATGCCTGAATAATATTCCATATACATATGCCACATTCTTTATCTGTTCTTCTGTCGGTGGACACCTATGTTATTTCCACGTCTTGGCTATTGTGAATAATGCTGAAATGAACATATTCAAAAAGTGGTATCTTTTTGAAATAGTGCTTTCATTTCCTTTGAATATATACCCAGAAGTGAGATTGCTGGATCATATGGTATTTATATTTTTAATTTTTTGAGGAACCCTCCCCGTTGTTTTCCTAGTGGCTGCACCAATTTGCATTCCCGACAACAATGCACAAGCTTCCCTTTTGTCCACATCCTCACCAACACATGTTGAAAGCAGCTGTTCTGACAGGTGTGAGGTGACATCTCATTGTAACCCCCATTTTATTTTGTTTTGTTTTGTTTTATTTAATTGTATTTTATTTATGTTTTATTTTATTTTTGAGAGTGAGAGCGGGGGAGGGGCAGAGAGTGAGGAGGACAGAGGATCTGAAGCCGGCCAGCTCTGTGCTGACAGCAGCTGATGGGCTTCAAACTCGCAAACTGTGAGATCATGACTTGAGCCAAAGTCGATTGCTTAACCGATTGAGCCACCCAGGAGCCCCAATAACCCCCATTTTAAACTAGCATCCCTCTCTGAACTCTAGATTTTTTTTTTTAATGTTTTATTTGTTTTTGAGAGAGAGAGTGAGCAGGGGAGGGGTAGAGAGAGAGAGGGAGAGAGAGGATCCTAAGCAGGTTCCAAGCTGATATCAGAGAGCCTGACGCAGGCCCTGACCCTACCAACCATGAGGTCATGACCTGAGCCAATGTGCAACCGACTGAATCACCCAGGCGCCCCTGCACTCTATATCTTCTTATGCTGTTTTATTTTTCTATATAGAACTCTCATCACTTGACATAGTATTTACTGTCTGTGCCCACCCCCACTAGAACGTGAGCTTCATTAGTGCAGGAACGTTGTCTGTTTCCTCTGTGTGCCGTCTCCAGCCCTGAGAAGTGCCAGGCATGCAGTGAGTGCTCAGTGAGAGTAGTGCCGCTCAGGCAGTTGTTGCGAACTCATGGAGCGAGTATGTCCATTTAGCAGGTATTATTGCTGCAGGGGTCATCAGGGCCTGCTGATGGAATGGACTCTTCTTCCTTCTGATTCAAGCCCCACTCACTCATGCTGCCTGGACACTCAGACCCTCTGCAGGGATGCTCACTCCAGATCCCACATCTCTTCCACTGGAACTTACCTAGACAGGATCCTGGTGTGGCTAGACAGCCACAGGAATTCTCGTACATGGTCAGTGGGAATGGCAATTGGTGCACTTTGGGAACTGTGTGATAGTGGCAACTAAAGCTGAAAGCTGCTAGCCCACCGCCCACCGCTGTGACCTGGCAATTCTGTTAAAGAAACGTGTACGTATGCTCTTCCAAAGGAATGTACTAGAAGTCCGTAGCGGCATTATACGTGGGAGTCCCCAAACTGGAAACCACTCAGATGCGCATCAAAAAGAGCGTGGTCCAATCATTTGTGGTTTATTCATACCACAACTACTACCCAGCAATGAGATTGAACTACAGTACACAGCCCAATCAGTGGATTTCACGACATAAGCATCTAAGCAAGACACGAAGGAACCCATACCATATGGTTTCATGTATGTAAAGCTGAAGAAGAAGCCAAACCGATCTATGGTATCAGAAGTCACAGTGGGGGTGGTGACCAGGAAGGAGGCTTCTGGACTTCGGGTCCTAGCTTGTATCTTGAGGTGGGTGCTTGTTACACAGGTGTGCCCTGTTTGAGAGAATTCATTGAGCTGTGCACTTCTGATTTGTGTTCCTTGCTGTAGGTATGTTGTACTTCGATGGAAGATTTTTTTAAAAAAAGGAATATCTCTGTAAAACAAAAAATTATAATTTACTTGACCTGGAGCACTCTGGGTTGTGCTGGACTAATTAGCTCCTGAGGATTTGATTCATAGTCTTTGCCCATGAATGTCACTTTGTCTGAATCAGTTGACTATTTTGGTTTTGTCTTCCAGTTAGGTTTCTGTAGACCCAGTGCTCCTTGACTGGGAAGGTGGGGGTCTGTCGCCATCTGGTGGCCATTTGTATGATTACAGCGGTAGGTAAATTCCACTGGCTGCCTGGTCCAGGGGTCAATGAAGCTCAGAGAGAGGAGGTCTTTGAAGGTCCCTCAATCTAAATCTTCTGATTGTCAACACCTTATTCACCCCCAGGTTTTCTGGCCCTTACTTGAACATCTCCCAAGTTGAGAGTTTACTGCCTAACCAGACAGCTAAGTCCATTTTTGGACATCTCTCATTTTGAGTAAATTCTTTATAAAAGTGAAAAATTGCTTCCTTGACTTATCTAGCCACTGGTCCTGATTGTGTCCCTGAGGCTGTTCAAATAACCACATCTGCTTCCCACACCTAGGTCGTCCAGATGTTTGGGGGCAGCCCTCAGACCTTCTGTTCAAGTAAGTCCTCTCTTCTGGCTAGATGTCCACAGTCCCCGAAACATCTCTTCTGGGGCTTGCTTTTCAGTCTGTTTGTCACCGTGGCTGCTAAGCACTCTGTACTCAGACTCATTGGTGACCTTCTTCAGGGTGGCCCTCAGGCTGACCTTGCCCCCCTGGACTTCTCTGCACCTGCCCGTTGCTGCTGCTGTGGCCATATTGTTCTCCAGGCCAGTTATGAGCTGCCTGCTGTCCAATTCCTCACTCAGCCCTACCTCTCTTACAAGGAACCTAACTGGAATTCTGGAATAGCCCAGTTGTGGCAAACAATGTTTGTCTTGAGAATGGGAGCAGGTGAGGCAGCAGAATGGAAATCCGGTGCTTATTGGCAGGTAGGCTCAGTCCTGGGGCAGCCGGGAGAAAAAGTGCTGATGAGGAAAGTCCTAGTTGGCCTCATGTCCGGTGAAGAGCACGAGGCCATGGGGAAACTCCGAAGACAAATACAAGAACCCATGGCGTACTTCGTGGATACTGTGGTCTCCATGCTTGTCAGAGTCCCATGGGAGGCAATGCTGGGCTCTCTTCCCAGGTCTTCCCCTGAGCTGGTGCGTGTAGGTTTCTGTTTTTCCGCCAGACACTAGGCTGTGGCTTGCAGACATTTTACCCATCATTAGTTCTACATGCTGTTATTTGGATACGTTCAGGCTGAAACATATTCCCGAATGTCTTGTGCATGCCCTTGCTTATCACCACAGCCCTTATTCTGGCAGCAAAAGCTGCATCAAATGGTGGTTTCTAATGTCCTAGAACAGAGGAGTCAAGCGAACTGCACCATGCCAGAGAGCGTCCAGGGTGTGTGCCCAGGGTGTAGAACCCAGTTCCTAGCAGAGTGAGGGAAAATAAGTCTTTTTAAAAGGTACCTTGCATGGCCCGGGCTCTGTGCTAGGCTCAGGGGGATAACAGGGAACGAGACAGACCCAGTCAGCTCTTCCAAAAATTGTAGGCCCAAAGCAGTGGTCCTCAGATATTGGTGAGCACCATTTAAATATGAAGGTCTACGGGCTCCATCCCTCGTAGGTGGAGTCACTGGGTGCAGGGCAGGGCCTCAGAATATGCATGTTCAGCATCTTCCAGTGTGACTGTGAAGCAGATGGTCAGGTGATCATGCTTTGAGAAATACTGGCCCAGGCTCTTGGGTCTTTGGAGCCCCTGTTCCTGGCAGCATTCCCTGGGAGCTTGTTAGACACGCAGGATCTCAGGTTCCACCCAGACCTACTGGACTAAAACAAGCATTTAAATAAGCTTCCCAGGAGGATTTGTGTTAAAGTTTGAAAAGCATTGCCAGTGCAGTGTGTGAGGATTTTCACCTTACTTCGGTATTGTTTTGATAAGAGAAAGAATGCATTCATGTATTATTTGGCAATTAAAAATCAATTAATGAAAAACTTTGTATAAACCAGGAAGATCTTGTACAGGAATGTTCACAGCAGCTGTATCCATAACAGTCTCAAACTGGAAACAGCCCAAATGTCTGTGTCAATAGGCGAATGGATAAACTGAAGGGGGCGTATTTGTAAAATGGAATACTACTCAGAAATACACAGGAACAATACAACAGTGTGGATGAATCTCAAATGCATTATACCAAGTGGGATGAGCCTGACGCAAAAAACCGCATGATGTTTGAGTCCATTTATATCATGTTCTAGAAAAGGCAGGACTAAAAGAACAGGAAGCCAATTCCTGGTGGCAGGGGCTGGTGTTTGGAGGAGAGAGCTGACTGCAGAGAAGGAGGAAGGAACTTCTTTGAGTGAAGGGAATGACCCATACCATGATTGTGGTGGTATTCACACACAATTATGCATTTACCCAAACTCATTGAAGAGGATGCTTTAATTAATTTATTTATTTATTACTGTTTTCATTTATTTTTGGGAGAGAGACAGAGTGTAAGCGGGGGAAGGGCCAAGAAAGAGGGAGACACAGAATTTGTAGCAGGCTCCAGGCTCTGAGCTGTCAGCACAGAACCTGACCTGGGGCTCAAACTCACAAACCGTGAGATCATGACCTGAGCTGAAGTCAGACCCTTAACCCACTGAGCCACCCAGGTGCCACTTACGTATATTTTTTTTAATGTTTTAATTTATTTTTCTGAGACAGAGACAGAGACAGACAGAGCATGAGTGGGGGAGGGGCAGAGAGGGAGACATAGAATGTGAAGCAGGCTCCAGGCTCTGAGCTGTCAGCGTAGAGCCCGATGTGGGGCTTGAACTCACGAACTGTGAGATCATGACCTGAGTGGAAGTGTGATGCTTAACTGATTGAGTCACCCTGGCACCCCAAACTGGATACTTTAAACGGGTGAATTTTACTGTACATAAATTATACACCAATAAAAATGATAAAAACAAGAAAAGCAAAACCAAGAGCATCAAGTACTTTGGGGCATCTTTGTTGTTCCCAGAGAGCCTCAGTTAAGTCTCCCCTCCTCCATCCCGGTGCCTCCACACAACCCCCACCTGAGCTTCCTACTCATCTCACCAAAAACTAAAACTAGGCCCTCCTGGCCTTAAAGGGGTGCTGTCTCCTGCAGTGTCTCTGGTGGCCTCGCTTTCTGCTACAGGCACAGCGTGGTGAACACAGTGTTAAATAGATTCAACAGGAACATGTTAATATTTCGGTGGCCTGTGTAAGTAAACAAAACCCCAGCTCTGTAAATGCATGAAGGGCAAGAAATCGAAGCCCATCATAGTCAACTAGGCTTTTCCAAATCAGGCAAATACTAAGGACAACCAGTCACAAAGAGCCCACCAGTCTTTAAGCTACAGCCCACCGAATAATTTCCTTTCATTTCCCCGCCTTCTCTTTTTGTCTTTCCTCCTAACCCTGTGGGAGGAGTGGATCAATGCTGCCAGATTCAAATAGGTTTTTACTCCAATAAATTCTTACAATTTTTAATATGCTTTTGCTCATTTTCTAAACTTAAAGAAATAAAAGATATAGGTGGCTCATTTTTGAGCATCTGGCTCTTGCTTTCGATTCAGGTCATGATCTCATGGTTTGTGAATTCAAGACCCACGTTGGGTTCTGTGCTGACAGTGAGGAGCCTGCTTGGAATTCTCTCTCTCCCTCTTTCTCTACCCCTCCCATGCTTGTTCTCTCTCTCTCTCCAAATAAATAAACTTAAAAAAAAAAAAGGAAATATAATTAACATACAATATTAGTTTCTATGTTCATTTATGTTATTAACAAGGATTAAAAGCATATTTCTGGAGCCAAATCGCTTCGGTTCTGTTTCCAGCTCTTTCAGTTGCTAGCTGTGTGACCTTGGACACATTTCTTAACCTCTTTGTGCCTCAAAGTAATAGTACCTGTCTCAAAGAGTGAGAATTTTAAAAAGTCAGTTTATTGTAAGGTTTTAGAGTAGTGCCTAGCTCATAGTAGATGTAGAGGTCACTTTTAGGCAACAGGCTTGAGCACTGCAAGGTAGAGCAAGGCAAAAGGGTCCAGAGTGACCAATGAGCTGATGCAAACAGGCCCATCAGGTGACCCACCTCAAAACATCCATAAGCCTTAACTAACCAATGAGCTACTTACAACCAGACACAGGTACCAAAAAAGGAAAATTCCGTGCATTCTCCTACTTCCTCACCTTCCCCCTTTAA